TAATGGAAGTTTTACATTTTGTGCACAATTTTGCTTTTGTTTTCCAGCATCTTTTCACATCAGAGAGGAATTGCTGAAAAAGATGATGGAATCTTCTTTCAATAATGTTGGTGTTACGATAAAGTATGTGAACATTTTAAGTAAACAAATTTTAAGTAAATGACAAAATGACTTATATTCAGGTTACTTTATTTGTTTACGTTTTAACCGTTTTTGACAAAATTTTTTCCAGGTCTGTAATTTACTTTGAGCTGTATTTGTTATTTCTTTTGCCTCGGTTTTAGGCAGAAGAAAAGTTCCATGAAAGTGGAGTCGTTTTTTAAAACAAATTTGGAAAATACAGTTGAATGATATATTATTAAGACAGTATTTCGTTTGTCCTGTGTAAAGAATGTGGGATATGACAGTAAATGACAATTTTTTTGTTTCAGTGATGACGAACATATCACATCAATGTCAGAATTCAGCGTCTATAAAGAAACTCCTCGGAGTAAAGTGAGTTATGTTGTTAATAAAATTCTTCTAAGAGTCTATCCTTTTTTTCATTTTAAAATCGTTTTGACACTCTCAAATTTAGGATCCTGTTGAAAGAACGCTGTGTTTCTTAGAAACGTACAATATCGTCACCCTTCATCCCCTTAGCTCATTAAGTCATGCGACATTCCATGTCAGTTCCAGTAATTGTTCATATCTGACCTTGAAAGAAAACACTCCAAACACTCAATGTTTTCCGACCTGGATTCAAGTTTACTGCTTTTATCGTCTTTTTTATTTCACGTTTCCATTTTGAACATGTCCAATTGCAAAAAAGTATCCAGCCGAGTTAAAATAGTTTTATTTTTCCAGTTACTTTCCAGAATATACCGTATATACCGTATAGTATATCATAGTTTCAAACTTCTTTTCCTGTCAGATATTTTTAATAATTCGATATCGAAACCATCCTCAGTCGTTCGGGCTGGAATACACAAGCGGTCGGCTGAGAAATTACTCGTCTCCTGACAGGTAGTGTAAGAAAGCAAATTTTGTATGAAGCTAAAAAAAATATTTCTTGTTTTGAATTTTTGTATTTCACTCGATCTAGGGAAACATTATTGGCTGGTTTGCTAGACGGTGTTAGAGCCAGTTGAAACATAGATGTTTGCGTAAAAACGACCCCAACGAAGAGAAGTACTGTACGCTTATTCATAGATGATTGAGCGAAAATTATGGTCAAAATTTTCCTGATGAAAATCTCGTACTGCTATGATTACCCTAAATAGGATCCCTCATTTCATTCTCCTGCTGACGTATGTGATCTCATATAACACACCAACAATTACACTTCTCGTCAGGTATCAGCTAATAGCGTTATTCCTATTAGCCAGTTCAATACATCACATACAGCAAAAGAAGAATTTTTTTTTAAGATGATATATTTTTCAAGGTTATCGTTGGGGTCCATTGTATAATGTTGTTGACGAAGAAGTAGAAAGCAGTCATTTAAATTCCTCGCTGCATCTCCAGGTGAAATATTTCCCTTTTTATTTCACTTTAAATTTTTGAAATATCTCCAAAAGCTTATATTGTCTTATGACTGGTTCCTTGCAGGAAATTTAACCGAAGCTGTGTACAGATTTAACTGCAATATTTCCTACTGCGGTCTACTTCATGCAGTCACCCAAGACGTAAGTTGACAACTTCTTATCTTGTACTTTTCTGCAGACGAAATCCTGTGTAGAGAATATTATTGCCTTTTTATTGAGTTTTAATGTTTTGTCAAAATCTGGATTAAGGCTGTTTTCCACTCACGTGTTTTTCATACGCACGTACACGCACATAAAAATCTAAATTCTTATACATGTTACCTTTGAAAAAACTAAGTGAATAAATCGACCTAGATGCATGTTAATTAATAAAAATTTAAAAGCAATTAAAATTCTCCGTATGTGTACATGCGTATAAAAAACGCGTATATAGAAAGCAGCCTTTAGTGTAAACTAAACGATTGCTAGGCTGCACAGTTACGTTAAATGAAAACATTTGCCCATTTCGGCTGCTAATTGAAAACATTTAGCAGGGTTTAAAATGTCTGCAAACAACACGGTACATTTAAACTGGTTTATCCAGTATAGCCAAAGGCAAAGAGTATGGCTTTAATAAAAATACCCTATCCTGCTACTGTTCTGTGCACAAATGTACACAAAACACTAATAGTACTCCCTAAAAACCGCCGTAACTCCAGCCTAGTCCCAGACCTCTCATTGCGCGTGTTTTATATTTCCGTCTCGTTACCGAATGAAACGCGCGCGAGAGGCCTAACACAAAATATTTTCTAATCTTAACGGCCCGTTTAATGTTGTGAACTTGAAATTAGAATTGTTATTAAAGTAAATGTTTGCAATTTACAACAGTAACCGTTATAAAGGAAGCGAGAATAATTTAAATTATTATGCATTGCTAAGGCAATATCGATTGTGATTGGCTAAAAAGCTACAGATAATTCTCAATGTCTTGCCACCTACACGACATTGAAAATTATCCGTAGGTGACGTAATTTTTACCGCTAGTTTGTTGTTAAACTTCGTCTTTAAAAAGGAAATACATAATAAAACAATTATTGAATTCGGTTTTCGCATGATATCGAGAATTATCAAGCCTCAGTTTGCGTTATCCGCCTCAGCTTCGCTTCGGCAAATAACGCAAACTTCAGCTTGATAATTCTCGATATCACACTCAACCTCATCCAATAATTGTTAATTGGTGGATTGAAGTTTATTATAATCATAAACATGTACGTACTGACTCGAGTTTACTTGATAGTCGATAGCGTTGACGGCGAGCGACATTGAAACGTTTGTATGAATATTTCGACTCCTGGCAATATAATTAATATCCCGTAGCTTATTTCAAGCAAATGTTTGACTAACGACGTCGAACAAGGCCAGTTAACCGCGTCGTAGATCGTAAACTGACCTCAATACAGAAAGTGGGGACAAAAAGTCCCGACTTTAGCTAAAATACAAAACATTTTGTTCTAGGCCTCTCAGTTCCCGCCTCGCCGCGTATAAGGAACATTAAGAAGCCTAGGGACTAGGCTGCGGTAACTCTGGTTGCTGAGTTGACTGGGTCCGAATCCATGAAATGGTAGTTTTGAAATTTTCCCGCCAGAAGTACGGCTGGAATATTAAGTCTTTTAAACTCCAATATATATTTCAAACGATTTTAAATATTTTGTAGGGACTTTTCTCATAGAATAAAGAAAGACTTATCAAAATGCTCATTGCTCACAAAGGTATTGTATATCTCTGCCAATAAATTTATTTAGTGTTCAACCCAAAAATATACATATTCTGAGTGCTATTACCTTCACAGGTGTTCTATATATACATAAAATAGTTAAAAAGTTTCGTCTATTTGCAGGAGACCAAAACAAAATATGAGATAAAGATCTCGAAGCACTGTTTCACGATTTGAGAAGTTGGGTTCGATCCAAAGCAGGTTTCGCGCTTTCACAACGCTCACTAGGTGAGAAACGTTTATCTTTAACCACGACACACGCTGTTTACTCAACCAGCAACATTTTAGCAACATTCTTAGATTCATCTTAAAACTTGTGATTTTATAATCCTCTATATACTAGCCATCTGTAAATAGTTCAATTGAGACTAACAAGCATACTCCATAAGTAATTTATAATCTTTATTGTTGGCATATAGGCAATTGAGTGGATATCTTGTGGCTCTCTGGACAACTGGTCATCCAACAGCAATGGCATTACTTTTGAGAATAATGTTCGTATTAAAGTAGTTATAGTTTTTAATGTCTAAAATATACAATAAAGTTTAAATGCGAGATTTCCTGTTCGTAAGTTTTGGTTCATAAACAATTATGTAATAGTGACTAAGTGGTATCAACTGCTTTGGTAACTAAACTCCATCATTCATCCTTAAATTGTCCCACTGACGAAATAATTAAAAGGTAATTCATTCAGAAGTGTAAAACCTTTTTGTAAAGAAACAATTTTGTTGGAAAGTTTTTATCTTTCCTTTAGCCACCAGAGACTAAAGAAGATTATTAATCAATTCGTGACAATGTAAAGCTTGCAGAGTACGTTTTAAGGCAACAATCGTGTTCCAAAATTTCATAATGCATGCTTGTATGTACGTATTAGCCTGTTATTTCACGTGCTATACTTGTCTGTTAGAGCTCTGGAGAAGCGAGAGGAACGTCGAGGAATAAACTTGAAGGATATCTCTCGCATTGGAGGACAAAAATAGGGTTCAAATTCAGGAAAGATGTGAGAATTTAAATCCAGTTGTTTTATTACAAGTAAGTGTTCATATTAAGAAAATGGGAAAATGTTCTAGTCGTTTGAAAGATAAAAAAGCAATGGTATTTAAACGGATCTTTTTTACAGATTCAGTCAAGATCTGAAAGCGTACAACCTGATTTGGAATTACAAGGTGAGTCTCGAAGTTAAGGTTAGTTTCCGTTGAAAATATAGGAAATGAAAAGGTAATGGAGGATTTCCTGTCGCTATGAGTATAACAAGACAAATTCAATAGTCCTGACCTCTTTCTCTAAACTGTTTCTCGTAAAAGAGTTTGAAACAATTTCTTTTGTTTTCAATGTGACAAACGCGAGAGGAACTTCTGGGGCTCTCGAATCTGAGTTGCGCGCATTTGCAATGGAAAAAGATCTGAGTGGAAACTACGTTGTTTTTTGGAATCACCTTTAGTTTGAAGTCTTGTATGAATGGTTACCTGATCAACTGAAAATAGGTTAGTGATAATCCTTATACTGCTCTAGCTTTTTAACAGTTCTTTTTAAAGCGCCCTCCCCCTATCTCTCCATAGCAATAATCAAACTCAGTAACGTATCTCTCCTATCAGGCGACTATTATTTGAGAGTCTTGTTGGAACAAAACGACGGGGAAACACCGATAACAAATGTGTGAGTCCACGACATTTATCTATCAGGATTTGCAAATATTCAAACTACTGTCCTGCTTCCCGCTGCATAAAAACGATTCCAGATACCTAATATATAATATACCTTAGCGTCCTATTCTCCATATTGCTGCACAGTTCACACAATGTTATTTGTCCTGCAGTATGTAGTAGAGAAGTATAGAATCATGGATGAAACAATTCACGATTCGATCGACTTTTCTATTTTGTTTTCAGGCTCGAGTTGTTTAACGATCTGTACCACAGATTCCGATTGACAACTAAACCAACTATGAAAGCAATGTGCCTTCAGGTGGGGATGTCGTTTAGCGAGAGTCTAGCTATGTGTAGACTTCGAAGAATGAATGAAACAAGTTGGAATATTTTATTCACAGGCGATGACTAAAGTTTATGGAAAATGTTAGGAAGAGATTGGCGCTTTTAATGATACCAAGCTAAGGATCATCTGTTATTGATCCAGTGTTACTACAGGAGCCTGAACTAAACTAACTTTATTCATACTGTTTCGTATTTTTGCACTTACATGAAAATGGCATCACCCACAGGGATTGGAAGGTAAACGCGCACTCATTTATTAATCATTACTGTCTTTATATCCTAATCTTTAATTACCATAATTTAACTTTTTCTTCTCTAGCCAGAAAATGTTTTATTGTGTGCCTCGGATGACGAAACTCTTATAAAGGTTTGTGTCGCTTGTGTATTGAACTTAATCTCAATTCCGAGTTTTGTCCGTGATTTCGTTTCACGAAAGCAGAGCGCATTCTGCGAACGTTTTTTGCGTTCATGGTGAAGACTAGCCGACGGTCACGTTCGACAGACGTGTCTCTGCGAGCAAATAAAATACTCAGTTGCGTAGCTAACACGACAATTTAGTCATGCTCTGCTAATATTTTGGAGTTCATTCACTGTGAAAACAATGGATTTCTAAAGAAATTAATATGATAATAACATAAAATTTGCATAGCATGGCTGAAAATGCTTGCTGTAAGATCACATCGAAGGAATATGCATCCTCATTGACACACGTGGTGGGTTAAAAACGCGCTAGTTCTTCCGATAAATTAAAGAACAGTTCCATACCTATACTTTTGTACGTGTAAAACTTTTCGCTTGATTTTCTTTTAAATGCGAAAATCCGACCGTGCAGCAAACATTAAAATCAAGCGATAACACTAAACTTGATTGTGATAGCCCTGAGTATATACCGCTATAATAGCTTTGTTCCTCATAATGATATGCTGGATTCCCCGTCCAGGTATAACTTCTAAAACACCCTTATTTTTACTTGTATTCCAATGCACCTAAGTTAGTAAAAAACCTGACAAACCCACTGGAGGGGTAAGAATTGAAAAATAGAAAAAAAATTCATCGTGTAAACAATTTATTTCTAAATCAAAAACTCACTCTTATATAAGCCACTTATTGAAATATTTTTGCTATATATTTCAGTCAGATGGATCTCTCAGTCATTTCTTATTCCTGAGTGAACAAATAGTATTTCAGTGAATTGCTAGAACATACCTAAAGAACAGCTATAAACTTCAATTCTCAAAGATATGTTGCGTACCATGTCTTTGGATGAATGCGGATGTAAAGCGCGGTTACAGTTGGTGATAGGACATTTTCAACTAGTGAGTCTCTAATGAAATGAGTAATTTGTTAAACAATTAATCTTA